GTTTTTGCAAAATACCATCTGTTGCAATCAGGCAGTGTGCTAAGCATTTTCTATGAATTATATGTCCAAGTCTTCACTTCATTTCTAAGAAATAGTTGAATTGTTATTCTTATTTTAAAATTAGTTTTCAGTAGTTTCAAGGATGAGAAAATATAAGGAACATTTCTATCTAAATGGTTCACTTTGAGCCTAGAGGAGTTGATATTTTTTACTCTGTCTTAATCCTCATATTCTTTCTCTTGGTGAGCAATACACCCTCATGCCAACTGCTAACTCTAATAATTCTTTCATCTTTCTTTTCCCTTATCAATATCAATTTCATGAAATAGCAACATTCTATCCATCTCCCTCTCATCTTCACCACTGAAACTTTAGTGAAGGCTTTTGTTATCTCTTGAGTGGATTATTATAACATCTTCAGATGTTCTTGTCTTTGACTCTTGATCCTTTCTAGTCTACCTCGGCACAGGCATGACAGCAACCATTCTATAACCCAAATTAAACTAAGATGTTCTCCTTAAATCTCTAGTTCTATTCATAGTTTTCACAGTAAGTCCTTTTTTTTTTTTTTTTTTTTTGCATGCAATGTCGCGGTGTCTTCCACTAGCTTGGTTGGATGTGAGTGCCATGTACACATTGTGTCAGAGGTGAGGAATGAATGAGTCATGAGGTAGAAATAACTTCCATGTTTTCAGAGGGCAAGTATATGTCACTAGGGATGATCATGACCTTGTCCATACAAGGGACTAGCTTCATAAGACTATCTTCTTAAGAACAGTTGGATGTCTTTCTTTTTGTGAGTTTTAACATGTTGTCTCAATTTAAAAACACAAAACACCATGTATGTAAATAAAAACATATCTGTGACCTAGAGTCAGCCACTACCCTCCCTCCCAGGCCCACTTTCTGTTTCATATAAACTTTCTGTCTTAGCTCCATTAGTTCTATGATTCTTACTTGTGTACATGTGGCTTCTCTCAACTGTAAGCTCTTTGAAGGTTGGGACCTTGTCTTATTTGTGTTCATATCCCGGTGTCTGGCATACAATAGGATGTTCAAGCAATACATATTGAGTGGGTGAATAGTATTTATGAAATCATTTCATAGACCAATGTACCTCTACATAAACTCAATGATCATAATAAATTTAATAATAAATTATTATCTTAGCCAACCTTTCCCCCACTTCCCTTCATTTCCTTTCTCTACTGTCCTTCTTTGTCCTCTTTCCACAACTAAAGCACTCACTATTTATCAGGTGACAGTTTAAAAATGACCAGTGCCCGTCATCTGACAAAGGAAAAAAAAAATCTAAAATAGCCAGTTAGGACAGCAAAAAATACAAATAGTTTCAGAGAGCATCTTTGTGTATGATAGTACATTAATTGGTATTTATATGCATGCTAGGAAGTAATTTTAAAAAGGACAAATTATGTTTGATACTTGCTCTTTGAAAGGTAATGAAATTATTGAATATATTGTAAATACATATTAAAATATGTAAAAAAAAGATGGGGAGAGAGATAGAAGGATTTGGTACTCAAACTCTTTGGGAAAATTCATTTATTGGAAAACTTTATGCTTCCTGACAATATTAGAAAGGTGAAGCGTAGTTGGACTTATTTAGTGACTACTAGATGACCAACATCTTATTTCTGTCCATGTTTAAAGATAACATGGAAAAGAATTTGCAGTGTAGAGCAAAGGCAAAAGGAATACATAGAAAATTATTATAGAATAACATAAAACTACATATATTTAAATTGCAGTAGAGGAAAGAAATCAAGTGATTCCTCTTCTCTGGAGAATCTTAGGCACCTTCCTATGTAGGTAGAATTAGAGCATGAGTAGAATTTGGGTAAAAGGAAGAAAGTTAGGATGGCTTCCCAGGAAAGTAGGGGAGGCCACAGAATAGCTGGTAATGGGTGAAGTGTGGCCTGTCAATGAGTATCACTTAAGTAAGGTGTGTGTTTTAGAGTTAAATTAGGAAGGCCTCATGGCCTATTTTCCTAAAGTTTGCCTTCTTTGCCCATAATATCATTTACCTTGAAGAGAGATTATAGTTATTGCTCATTCTGAAGACAATTTTAAATCTTGGATTAAAAATGATAGAACCTCTTTAAAAAAATAAGAAGAATCAAAAGAAGTCAGCATAGTGGTATACTATTAATTGTAGATTCTCCATTTGTTATTGAAGTCTAATTTGGAATGCAAGATCTTTATGATTAGTGGAATCTGTAATCATGCTAGTCTCTTTTCTTTTATTCTTCTGACATGGCCATGTCATCTTAAGGTCTTTACCTATGGAGCTCATGTATCAGAGCATCTAACTGCTGTAGAGATTCTGGTGGCTTCCACTGACATCTTCAGAGGCCTTTATATTGGAATAGCTCTCATGGTGGCTTCATGATAAAATGCCCAGGCTGTAGGCAAAAGTGCCTAGGTTTGAAATTCCTCTGCCATATCCTAGTTGGATGATCTTGATCAAATTACCTAAACTCTTAAATTTACAATTTCCTAATTTTAAATCAGGTATGAAGATGGCAATAGCATCTTCCTCAAGGGGTTGTTATGAATGAATACAGGCAGAGCACTTGAATATTATCTGCATATTATATGGCAAGTACCACATAAGGGTTAGGTATTACTTTTTATATCTAATAGGGAGAGAATAATGTACATCTAATATTTAGTATAACTATATGCATTGGTCTCTGTGTGTGTGTATGTAAAAAGCTATATATTTCAGTGCCATATAAATTGCATATTAAATATTTTATATTATTAAATATTTTATATCATTTTAAATTTAAGTTGCATTTTAAGTAATTCTTAGAATAACAATTTTACATTAGAAGGATTCCAAGCAACTTTCAACATAATTTCTCCTCTATTTCCAGAGTAAAGGGACTGGCAAGAAGTATATTATAGAATCTATTCAACAAATAGCTGCTCTGTGAATAAAAAGTTGCAAAATATTAATTAAAAGATAGGTATCTATTATACAAAGTAGAAGTATGTGCTGGATGCTTTGGGATGATAGAAGAATTGTGTTAAAGTGTTCAAGTAGGTCTGCAAAAGCTTTCCAAAAGCAATGGTACTCAGCCGAGTCCTGAAAGCAACACAGGAGTTGGCTTGATGAGGAACAAGAAGCTTAAACGGTCTGGAAAATATATATATAGTAGTTAAAAGTAATAGCTATCTCTTATAGAGTGGTGATTATATGCTAACCTTGTAATGAACCCTTTTTAGAAATTCACTCACCTAAAACCTTATAAGAAAGAAGAAAGTTCTCTTATTGCTCAAGTTGACTTAGTTAGTAGCAGATCCAGGATTTGAACTCAATACTGCCAAGGATGTTCTCTTAATTGCTGTACTCCAAAAACATTCTCTTAATTTCTGTACTAAGTGAAGTTTTAGATTAATACCTCACTAAAAATCTTGTTTTCATTTTAGATAATCCAAAGAGATTTTACATAATCTTCAGAGAAGTAACTTCTTAATTGGTATTAATTCCGATTTATTTTCTAGGTATTTTTGTAAACCGTTACATAGAATGTTGTAATTTCTAAGCTTCCCTAAGACTGTACAGAGATGAACCCATCACGAGATTTCTTGCTGGTCAGCACAGTTCTCCAGCTAAAAGTGCTTTCACATCCATATCTTCATTTGCTTTTCTCCCTAGTGAGTTTAGAAAACTACTTGAATAATGCATATTACTTTTCATATTCTTTCATCAGAACATTGTGTACTTACATCATGGTTTCTGGTATAGAATAAAAATTTAAAGAAAAAATAAAGAAAAAAGAAAACTTCATTTGTAAATACCTGGAATAATAGCCAATGTCTAAATGTATTCAATGAATCCAAAAGCATATTTAAAATTTTAGTGTTTGTCAAATAAAGCCTTTTGAAAAAGGAAGCAGAGAACTAAAGTTCTTTTTTTTTTCTCTTCAGTTTCATTTTCCAAAATTCTTGCACATATGAAGACCATCTGGTGATGCTATTACCACCAATTGGATATTAGTTGATGTGATGATCAGGCCAGTGTACGCCTCTTCCCTGGCCACTAGCCACAAGACAACCATCCAGTGTCTTTCTGAAGAATATCCCTTTGTGCTTTTTCTCCAGTCCTTACATTCGCATACAACCCTATGATTAATATCAAGTCACAGTGCTGGATACCATTAGGCTTCCACTAATATTTTCCCAGCCATTTCTGTATTCTTCCAAGTCGGAGAATGTAACTGACTCCACCAGGAAATAGAATAGAGGTCAGTGCAGGAGCAATGACTTCCAAGCTGTTTGCTAAATTTAGCTGTTCAATACTTTCCACTCTAGTGAAAACTGTGAACTACAATTATAGAATGTTGGAACAGAATGGGAGCTTAAAGGTCATGGAATTCAACTCCCTCATTTCTCTGTTGATGATACGGGGGCCTAGACATAGCCTGTGATTTGCTTGAGGCCACAGAGCTTGTTAATAGTGGAGATGGGAATTGAACTAAGATCTGCTCAGCCCTGGGGCAATGCTGAACTCACTACACCACAGATGTTCTGCACCTATGATCAGTCTGATCTAATGAGATCTTGAAGCACACAAATAGCTGGTGTTATTGGTTGTGGCTTCCCCTCCACGACCATTCATCTATATGGTGGCAGAGTGTGAAAGAGCAGAGGTGTCTGACTTATAAGTTGCTATGGGAGAAATGAAATGATTCTGTACCCAAACCCTGCCCCCAACTTTTAAAACTTCCTGCTTTATGTTCATCAATAATGAATGGCCCATCCCTGCAATACTCAGAGGGAGCTTACATTGCACTTTCAAGCAGCCGGTTAGTGATGTAGTGGATAGAGTCTTTCTTTCAAATCCCAGGGCAGCGGGTCCTTCAAGGCTAGCATTGCATTTTCAATTAGCTGCTGAGTGAATGCTTGGCATGTGTATTAGTGAAGAGGCACACAATTAGCTTATTGTTCCTTTCTGTATTGTGCTGAGAGGATCCAAGGGATTGGTGGGGGAACAGGCAAGCCAGGCATCGCTGTGGATGTTGAAGAAGGAAGTTCCTCAAACCTCTGCATCTTCACTTGCTCAGTCTGGAATTACAGCTATTTGTTACAAAGCACTGTGTGTGGCTTGGTGGAGTGTGCCTGAGGAAACGCATCTTGGATACCACTTGGGGCTAGTCTTTCTGAGTTCTTCACATCTCTGAATAATTCTCATCATTATCATGGAGCCCAACAGCCCCAAGAAGATACAGTTTGCTGTGCCTTTATTCCAGAGTCAGATTGCACCTGAGGCAGCAGAGCAGGTAAGTGGGCTTGGGTGGGGGAAAATTCCTGGATGTAAGATAATATGAACATACATTTTTATTTAGTGAAAGTTATTTTTTTAATCTCTTGAATTTGCCTAACTTTGGGACTTTTAGGATAAATGAATGAAAAATAAGTTGGTTTCTATATGCACTTGAATAAACAATTGGGAAACTGTTGGCTAAAATATAGCATTTCATTTCATACAAAATTAGCACCCATTGGGAAAAATGGTTATATTAGCCATTCAGATTTAGAGCTATCAATATTTGTGTCTGCATATGAAAATAACAGTTTTAACATTTAGAGCAAATTTTAAGACATTTTCAAAATTAGCAACATTTTATTTCATTTTTTAGAAAAAAAATTTGATGTAAAAATGAAAACATTAAATGCCAGAATAATTTTAGATTATAGGTTTGATATTGTTAAGCATGATTTTCATTTAGTACCCCAAACAGTAATTATATGTAATATATAATAAGTAGGATTTGTAGGCATATGTACAATTCTAAAAAGATTGTATTCATATATTACAAATAATACTTCAACATTTCCTAGATTTCTTTTCTCTATCTACTATGGCTGACATCTCTATCTCCTTTCATAATCAGATTTACTTAGACTCTTTATGCAATGGCACCACTTAAAAGATTATCTGTGATAAAACTTCAAATATAGTATACTGTGGGAAGACAAAAGCAAAGGAATCTATGGGGGACGTGCACCTAATTCATTAATTCCTTGAAACCTAAATTGTTCCTTAATCCATGCCCAAATATTTGATACAAAATCATAAAATAATTATTGAATCTCAGACTTACTCCTAATTGTTTTGACAGTCAAAAGTAGATCTATGTAGACTCAGTCCAGATGAATACGACCTTGAACATGTATCTCTGCTGAATGGAGCATTCCTTCTGTTTTAAACAAGATGCTATTGGTACATTTTATCCTCTATTCTACTTACACTTACTTGGGGAAGTCAACTATGAATGTATATGTTAAAGAAATAAAGGATAGCCCAAACAAGAAATTTGATTCATAACATGCTCCTCTAACTCTTCAAATAAGGAAAAAAAAAACCCAAACAAACAAATGAACAACAACAACAACAAAAAAACAAACCAAACCTCTTAGTTTTAACTGAATTATATCTTCTTCCAAGAGCCATATTCATTCTTTACTTGCTTATTTGTTCTAAAAATATACTAGAAAATAAAAACTTAACTATAGTAATTTAAATTTAAAATACATGCTATTAATTTAACTATGACACTGCTAGAAATTCGAGGTTGCCAAGTTCCTCTTACTGCATTTAAAGATAAAGGAAATGGATCTTGAAAGCATCACTGAAATTATGAGGGTCTTGCCATAAAATGAGCAAGTCATTCTCATACCTTCACTGTATATTAACTTTCAGTTACATCATTGGAATATATACAACTATTTCTTTTCTGTAGAAATGTAACTTTGTACTCAAAGAAGGTGATAATAATATATGACATCTTAATAATCTGGCTTTCTATTATTTAAAAAAAATAGTGGGCACGTATTGTGTGCCCTCTGGAAGTATGTTTTTGTATGTTGGGAAAATATGAAGATGGGTATTTTTGTGAGCCACAGGGCAACCAGGGGCCATGTGGGATTTTCACTGACATTAGCTGGGCCTTTGTTGTTCACAGATAAGGAAAAGAAGACCTACACCAGCATCACTTGTGATTCTCAATGAACATAATCCCCCAGGTAAAGAAGCATGATATCTTTGACATTGGTGGGACAGAATGGGGTTGTTTGAAGACTATCAAAGGGCTGTCATTGCCAAAAAGTTGTGATTCAGGATTTCAGTTAGTAGCGCTCTAACAAGCTAACCTATAATATGGATCATTTAATAGATTAATAAAAAATAAAATCAGAGATAACTATTAGAGGGACTATCTCAGTTAACAGCTTGCTTTTTTTCTAGAATGACCCACTGGGGATGATGTGAAATGTACTGTTAGCTTGGTTGTCATGTGTTCAGGTGTTTGTATAGAATCTGGTTCAGTGCTTACTAATGAGGCGGAGTGAGAAGTTGTTTAATTAGATTTCAAAGCTCAAATAACAGCCCTAGAGATACTTGTATTTTTACAGAGTTGGGTTTTAGTTATGTCATGGGGTGGGCCATGAGCCAGCACTGGCTACAGTTTTGCTGCTGATGTCATCTCTGGATAATGCAATTGACAAATAACCAGATCAATTTTCAGCTCTGCCCATTTGAGAGCCATTCTGAAGGTTGCATCCATTTGTTGAGGTTTTATTTCCCATTTCCTGTAAAAAGTAAAGCTGCATTATTATTCCTGATAAAGGACTATGATCGGCAAGGCACAAACATTATTTACGTATTGAGTGGGGTGATTTTAGTCGTGCATTTAAATGCTGCCTCTAGAAATATAAGTAGGACCAGAAAGGTCACGGCATTAATTTGTAACCAGGAGGAAGTTGGTGTTGGATTTTTTCGTAGGTATACACAATGAGGGAGGAAATAAAATGAGTTTGAATAGTGGAAATATAATACATCTAATTATAGGTTGTAGTGTGAATGAGCCATTTTAAGAATACCAGATTAAAATTGTCCTTGACTTTGTCAGATTCTTTCTAATTAGAGAAATACATGAGAAGAAAGTAAAATTTTCATAAAATATTCATCATTGAGCCTAAATACAAGAATATTCACTGCCATCGGCAAACATGTCAGCTATTTATTCCTGCTGAAAATACTATTATAACTTGATTCCTTATCTTTGAAGAGCTATGAAGTTTTAAAATCATCTTCAACTATATTATCTTAGTAAATGTACTTTTATTTGGTTGAATAAGAGGTGAAAATGTACTTATAGTTTACAAATAAATACAAATATGTAGACACAATGACTAAATCTTCTCAAGCAGTTTTATAGCTATTTTTCATGGCTTCCTTACCCTCAGTGACAATCATTCTAACATGTCTTGGAATTTGTTCCCTGTTCAAAGAGTTGCTGCCCACCTTGATTTCTAGATATCCTTCAAACAACTAGAGAAGAACCTCCCTAGTTCTGTAGGCATCACACTGTTTATTTAGGAAAGTCATGGTTATTGTCATGTTCAAAGTCTTTTTTTTAAATAATTTTTTAGTTGTCAATGGACCTTTATTTATTTATATGTGGTGCTGAAAATCGAACCCAGTGCGTCACACATGCTAGGCAAGAGCTCTAACACTGAGCTACAGTTCTCTATTCACTCAAAGAGCCCAGGAAATAATTGGGGGTTCTTAGAATAAACTGTAATTAGTGGTGTTTAAAATTCAAATCTTGGAAATATTTCTTTATTGTCCATTAATACAGCAAATTAAATTATTTTTTCATTATATAAATATAATTAACAAGCCATTTTAATTTGTGTGATGATATTATTAAATTAAAGTTATATCTTACAATTTTTTAATCTTTTTAACCTTTCCAGGAGTTTAAATCATTTGAAGGAAAGATTTAATTTTACTTTTAAGTTCATTTATGGATTCTCTTCATATTTGGTACAGAATAAATTAAATGGAAAAATATTTTTACACATAAATACAGATTTGTTTGTTTGTTTTATACTCCATCTATGCTGTTCTAAACACACAAATGAGATAGGTGCCCGGCAGGTAGGATTCCAGGGGCCTCAAATTGCCACCCCCATTCCTTCCTAACAAGTGACCTAGAATTCTCGGCAGCAGAAGCACTATGGAAATAGGTACACAACTTGTTAAGGATATACCATCCTTTGACCTGGATGAGTTCAACTCAAAACAATGGCAACAGGAACTAAAATATTTTAATTGAAGGCATGAGACCCGGGAAAGTCTAATAGCAAAGATTGTGTCTTTGTGGTAGAAACAGCAGAAGCCAACAACTTGCTCCTAGGAATACTTCTGGACAATCAGATAGAAATAGAAAATACTTGAAGCCTGAGATCTGGGTGTAATGAATCACCAAAGACAAATGTTACCTTTTTCAAATGTTTCCTTGGGGCTACATGTGTGAATGAACTTTGCAGGAAACTGCTTTTCCTTCTACATTTTCAGTTCCTTTTCTAATCAAGCTTGTCTGTTTCTGAAATCCTTTGTGAAATTCTACCTCAGAGTATCATCGTCTCTTCTTGGCCTGAATGCTGTTTGCTTTCACTCTCTGATAATCTGTAGCTAGTGATGTGGTTCCCATATTTTTATTTAGAGGAATGCAGACATGGGATCTTCTATATGCAGCAATAAATGGCAATGCTACTTTTTGTAACTGATACCCTCATATTTTATAGATTTACTTAACCTTACTTGTCTTGAAGTAGACTTATGAGAGGATGTGTATTTGGCTGCCAATATGTTATGGTTTGGATTATAAATTTTAAAAGTCCAGTATGCTAAAACCTTGGTTGTCAGACTTGGGGATGTGGTGGGAACATCAGACGGTGGTCCCAGTGGAAGGAAGTTGAGTTACTGGGGGTATGCCCTCAGATGGGATATTGGGACATTGGTCTCTCCTTTTCTCTCTTTGCTTTTGGCTACTATGAAGTGAGCAGATTTGCTCTACCACATGCCCCCCCCCCCACCATGATGGTCAGCCTTACCACAGTCCCACAGCCAAGGGCCCAGTGACCAAAATAAATAAATCTTGGCCAAAAGAAATCTTTCCTCCTTATAAGTTGACTATCTCAGAAATTTTGTCACAGTGACAAAAAGATGACTAACACAGAGTATAGAAATATAGAGCTGGAAAAGAACTTCAGGAAATAGTATAATCACACATCTTCATGAAAGACATAAACCAAACCAAGTCTCTGAGACTTGCTCCATTTTATGTATTTCAGAGAAGAATTCATAATTACCTCTGGTTTTCAGTTTCAGGTCTGTCAATTCTAAATATTAGAAAACAGTTTCTTGTACCAAACTTCAGTACAAATTCCCCACTTTACAATAACTCTTAATTTATTTCCTTAATAAAAGTTTATTTTCTCGCCTTTTAAAATACATGAAAGAATTCCTTCTTTTCTTTATTGAACATCTCCAGATCCCCTACAGGCCTTAATGAACAATATCCAAATTCTCCCCCCCACCCTGCCCGCCTTTGGAGCCCAGAGCTGGACACAGTCTCCCAGTAAAATGCCAGGCTGGACCAGGCCTTCTGAATATTAAAGTTTGTGGCATCCATTCTGTTCCACTTACTGTTAAGTGGAGGCAGTATGGTTACAATTATACTTAATGGATCTGATGTCTATTAAACATGAGTGAACTGTAAGAGGACTGGAGCTAAGTGAAGGTTTGGGTAAGTACCCAGGAGTTCTGGCGTCATTTTAAAGCTTATAGTACATCTAAAATTGGGACTAGAAAGAAATATAACACAAAATGACTTTGGGGATAGTTATTGAACTTCCTATCACAGCCAATTTTGGGGGAGATTAGCTTTCCCTTTGATCCTTTTAGCTACAAATAGTCTTAGAAATTAGAAATAAAAACAAAAGGATATTCTCACATATCTCAGGAACCTAAAAATTAGTTAATATGAGATACAGTAATTAAATACCACATTCTCTCCTTTCAAACTTGATAGTAAATCTAGTCATTAGAGAGAAGTTGGATTTCCAACCACTTGGGTTAGTTAGCTCCTCAAACTGGGAAAGAAGCCACAGTCCATTCTGTAAGTAGCACATGACTTTCTGAATGAGGCACGTATTTCAGGACTCAGTAAATTAACTAATGAGATTTTGAAAGCTCTGGGTTGAGAATCCTTAGATATTATTTATATAATAGCTACAAAATAATGCTGGACTCACATGGAGTTGTTCAAAACATGCAGGCATTCAGAAATTTCTCATGATGCCCTTTTCCATAAACAATGAAATGTCTCTTAGGGTCAATAAAGTGAACATGGAGATTTATGTCCAGTGTCAAGACAGTCACATGAATGTCATCTCTTCTGAGGGAGACCCTCTGTTTTACAAAATGAATGATTGTATGTCAAAAGGCAACTGGACACCTTGCATAGAAGATTCAGGGATCACACTGAAGATTTTCCAGGGCCTCTGAAAGATGGGTAAGACTTTGTCACATCCAGACTATTTATGTTACACCCCCAGGGACCTCTAGTCTAGTCAGTGGCATTCAAGGAAAAGATACTTGCCTATAGCCTACACAGTTAAGTTTCATTTTAAGTTATTTGGGAATGTGGTTGTAATACTTTCTGACACTGACCTTGCTGATTGCTTAGGATTTACTTTACCTTATTACTATTAATTACAGAACAATACAAAGGTTCATGTTTGAAAATCATTTGAGCTAACTGGTGTTAATTTCTAAGAAATTGTCAGAAATACCTATTATTTTTCCCTCAGCATTGATTTCTATGGGTTATTAGATGCCAAGCCATGTTGAATAATTTAAACACAAGTGATGCAACTGATTTTTGGTGATTCATGCATCCTAAAATTGATTGACTTATTTTCCCATAATTATTCAGTCTGTGCAGCCAAATTGCCTAATGAATTGGAATAATTGAGTGAAGAATGAAGTAAGCTTCAATTCTTAGTAATGCCAAGGTATGCTCAAGTATAATCTTCAACTTAAATAAAAGGAAAATGAAGGAGCAAATCATAAACTTGTGAAATATTTCCTCTTTATTTTGGCAGGATGATGACTTTTATTCATTTTGAATAATAGCATGTTCCACTCACCTTTTATATGGCTTGTTTAAAAG